TATTCTTCTTTCAACTCTTGTTGTTTTATTTCTTTATTTGTATAATTATTTACACCTCTAGTTTGAGAAGAGTTTTATGGTTTGTTTTTATGTTTTAAGAGTTAGTGTATAACTAATTTTCATTTATGCTGAACAATCTCCATATCACAAAATGCTAGTTTTTTCTGAAGTGTTCAGAAAGAAATGTCGATACGTTATGAGTTTTAAAGTTTTATTTATTTGTTATGTAATATTTGTCTTTCTACTTTTTTGATACAATCAACAAACGAGGTAATTTGATTTATGGTATTCTTTCTGTTCTACGGTTTCTATTTCTACACAAAGTGTGTCATTAATATGTAATGAAAATTCATGAAGTTTATAGTATTCGTTGATTGATGAAGTTTTGATACAATAAAGCGAATTATTATCAAAATAGTTGAGTTGTTAATGTTTTTATACACAAGATTACAGAATGAAAGGACTATTTAAACAACAGAGAAAAGTGTATACTCATTGAGTTGAAGAAACAATGACAATGCTTAATTTCACATATTATAATCCAGTTAGATTAATTTATGGAAAAGGGTCATTAGATGAGATTGAGAAACAACATTTAATTCCTGAGGATGCAAGAATCATGATGACATATGGAGGAGGATCTATTAAGAAGAATGGAGTTTATGAAGAAGTCATGAAACATATTAAACCAATAATAGAGTTTGGAGGAATAGAACCAAATCCATCACATGAAACATGTATTAAGGCTATTAAAATTGCTAAAGAAAATCAAATTAACTTCTTTGTTGCAGTTGGAGGAGGATCAATTATTGATGCAACAAAATATATAGCACTTGGAATGGAACATACATATTCAAATGATCCATATGATATTTGTATTAAAAAAAGAGAATTTAAAGTAAATCCAGCTAAAGCAAAAATAGGAGTAATTTTAACAATTCCAGCTACAGGATCAGAAATGAATTGTTGGGGAGTTATTTCAAGACATTCAGACAAACAAAAATTATCATTTAGTGATGAATCAATTTTTCCAACATGGTCTATTGTTGATCCATGTTTTACTATGTCTCTTCCAGATAATCAAATTAGAAATGGACTTGTTGATTCATTTGTTCATTGTATTGAACAATATATTGGAAATTATCATTTAAATCCAGTTGTAGAAGCAGAAGCAGAAGGTGTAATGAGAACAATCATTGCAGTATCACATAAAACAATAGAAAATCATCAAGATTATCAAGCACGAATTACATTCTGTTATGCTGCAACAGTAGCATTAAATACAACACTTTTATGTGGAGTACAACTTTGTGGAGGAGCACATGCAATAGGACATGAAATAACTAATTATTATGGACTTGCACATGGAGAAACATTAGCAATTACGACATTAGGTGTAATGAGATTTAATAAAGAGAAAAATAGAAAGAAAATAATTCAAATGGGAGAACAAGTTTTTGGAATTAAGAATAGTACAGCAGAAGCAACAATAGAAGCAATAGAGAAATGGTTTAAATCAATTGGAATGAAAACAAAATTATCAGAATGGGGTAAAGGAAAAGAAGAATTTGAAAATATTGCAAGAAAATTTGAATATAATCCAGTTGGTGCACATAAAGACATTGATTATAAAGGATGTCTTCAAATTCTTAATGATATTTATTAAATCAATTAAATTAATTAAATTTTTTAAGACTTTTTTAATATTTTTTTAAAGATAAAAAAAAAGAAATGAAATAAAAAAATTATTTAAAATGAAAAGGTTCTAATTGATAAAGATGTAATAAACGATTTAATCGTTCTTCTAACCATTTTTTATTATCTAAATCTAACCAATCATTAGGCATACAAATTCCTTTTAAATATGTTCCAAGAACTGCTCCAACTACTGCTCCATTTGTATCTGCATCTCCTCCTTCATATGCAATTCTTTCAATTAATTTTTCAAATATTATTGTTTTATCTATTCCTTTTTCTTTCATTTTAAATGCTTCTCTTAATGATAATATAGCACATCCTACAGGTTTAAATGTATATCCTATAGATTCATTTAATTTTATTTCTTCAAGTGTTTTAGCATTTGTGTATTCTATAAATTCTTTTTTATATTCTTCATTTAACATTTTTTCACTATCATAAATTGATTCTTTAATTATTTCTTCAATATCTTCTCTTCCTTGTAATAATTTTGCTAATATAAGTACAATTACATTAACAGATGCTTGACATCTAGGATCTGCATGTGTAGTACTTCCTATTTTCTTTGAATTTTCTTTAACTTTTTCTTCATCCCAGAAATATGGTATTGCTAGAACTGATGTTCTCATCACACTTCCATTTGGTGCTGCTTTACATCCTCCTTCTCTCAAATTTTTTCACTTTGTCCAATTGGATCATTATCCATCCTTTACTTCTTACTATTTTTCCAAA